GGAACGCGTGACTACCTGCAAACCGGTTTAGAGCTGTTGGCTCTCATCAGTACAGGGTGGGCCAAATTCGATGGGATTTGGGGTTTTCTCTGAAACTATCAGTGCTAAACAAAAACCGACCACGGTGTCCTGAGCTTGATTTTCGTGAAAAAAACAATGGCGCAAACCGCGATTGTCTATCTTTTTTGGCTGCCGAACTACAGAGCGTTTTTGAGATTTTACCTTTTATTGGTGACGTCATTATCTCGATCACCGTGAGTCCTGTCAAAAAATGAATAACACTTCCTCATAGCAATCTTTTGAGCTGAATTGATTACTGATAAAAGCAAAATTATTCATCGAACAGTTTTCGAGATATGAACCTAATTTAATTTTTTTAAATGGGACACCCTAAAAATTATTTCACCATTCGATCATAATTTCAATTACCTTTCGAACGATATATCATATGCTATAGTTATTTTGAGAACAAGTGGTTGTTTTTCGAAAATCTTTATATTCAGGGAGTAGATCGATAATAATTTTATCAAGTAAGTTTTATTATAAGAATATGAAAAAAACTTGAGAAGAATAATTAAAATGAATTTTCGAATTGTCTTCCATTGACATCTATGCACTTCTGACATCTCCTTTTGACAGCATTCGTAGCATTTCTTATCATTATAGGAGTTATTTTTCGAAACGCAGCTAACGTTCTGTTTTCCAATTCCTCGATGTTATTAGATGGTTCTCTATATATCATATCATATTCATATAATTTCAATTTCAGAACAACATACCTATCCAATTTTCTCCAAATTGAACATTCAAATAATTCCTAGTATCACATGATGTATGGCTTGGCGCCCCATCATGTTGAAAATATATTCTTTGGAATTGTCTCACAGGCAAATTATCTATATATGTTTCAACTTCTTGTCGTAGAATTTGAATATATATTTCGGAATTCAAGTTACCGCGGTCAAAATATGGGCCTATTACTTGGTGTCCCATTAAACCGCACCATACACCAAATCCAAATCGTCCTTGACGATTGACCGTAGCAGTAGCATAGGGATTTTCTTGAGCCCAATGATGGTTATTATGTCTGTTGAAGATTCCGGCACTGCTTATATGGGTCTCGTCCGTCCATATGACAGTTCCTTCAAAACCTGGCGATTCATTGCACTTGTGTGAAAATCAGTGGCAAAAATCTAAACGTCTTTGAAAATCGTTTGGGAACAAGTGGTGGGTGATTCTAATTCGGTACGGTTTGAATTTATTCTTCCGTAGGCAGCGTAACACAGTTGTTTTTGGCATCCCTAAATTTTCTTCTATTTCGCGTGATGATATATCAGGATTATCTCTGACAGTTTCTACTATTAAATTTTGTGCAGCTTCTCTTTCTGGTTTATAATAAATTTTTGGGCGAGGTTTGACAAAAGATCCAAAATCTTTCAAATTTGACTGTAACCTTTTGAATATTTTTGGGTTTGGTTGTATTTTCTCTGGGTATCTATAAGATGATTTGACTGTTAATTTTGGACAACCGTTTCACTGTTGATTATTCTATCACTTACCTATTGAAATAAAGTTCAGAAGCTAAGTTTTCATCTTCTCCACTTTCGATAAAACACTTGAGCATATCATATTTCTCTTCATTACTAAATTGAACCATTTCTTGTGAATAAGCGTCACAGTTGACAATAATAATTAATGGATTATGGTTGTCATTTCTCCATGGCCTTCTTGAGTAGTATGAGGAACATAATGAAATGCAATTGGAAGACGACAATAGGAAAGAAACAACTCGCACCTCAGTTGAACTAAATATTTCGAACTTTCTCACAGTTTTGAATGATAATTATCAAATTAACGTGAATATTTGTGAATTTGATAAAGCTAGTTAGTTATTATATTTTTCTTCAGTGTTTCATGGACTCATATCAGATTTTTCGAAAAACAACCACTTGTTCCCAAAGAAACTATAGCATATGATATATCGTTCGAAAGGTAATTGAAATTATGATCGAATGGTGAAATAATTTACAGGGTGTCCCATTTAAAAAAATTAAATTAGGTTCATATCTCGAAAACTGTTCGATGAATAATTTTGCTCTTATCAGTAATCAATTCAACTCAAAAGATTGCTATGAGGAAGTGTTATTCATTTTTTGACAGGACTCACGGTGATCGAGATAATGACGTCACCAGTAAAAGGTAAAATCTCAAAAACGCTCTGTAGTTCGGCAGCCAAAAAAGATAGACAATCGCGGTTTGCGCCATTGTTTTTTTCACGAAAATCAAGCTCAGGACACCGTGGTCGGTTTTTGTTTAGCACTGATAGTTTCAGAGAAAACCCCAAATCCCATCGAATTTGGCCCACCCTGTACAGGGCTGTCCCAGATAGCTTCTTGACCGCTATCTGGTGCGAACCTAACCCAACAGAAACGCATCTCAGCATTTATACCCCACGAGGCGTTCAATGTCCGCGAAATGAACGCGAACGCCGAACGCCACATGGCAAGGATGGAAACACTCCAAAACAATATCCCATTATCTTATCTTATCTATCATTATCTTGATAATTTGTTTATGAAATTGAAATACATACATATTTAATGAACAACCACATAGAATAACAGATTCATTCATTCATTCATTCGTCGAAGTATTCAATCAAATGGATTATTCTTCCTCTTCCCGGCATATTATTTCATTGCAACTTGAAAGAATCCGTTCTTAATAGAGTAATTTTTGTATTGTAGTTTTCCAACATCGTCACCGATAAACTCTCCGACCTCTTCTTTATTTTGCGGAACCTTGAATACTTTTTGTCTGTTAGTCATCTGTGATCCAAGAAATATGGCCTAATCAACCTGTGAAGATTATTACGGAATTATTTATACTTTGGATGTCCACAGTAAAAATTCGATTTATTTTGTCAAATTTTACATTTTGCATTTTGTGGCAAACACGTGACATGAGACAACACATTTGGTCACAGAACATTATTATCATACACTGTTGCCAAAAGTGTGAGGGCTCCTTTTAGAAGGACTACTCAAGGGGGATCTATAAAACAAGTTTTACGTCAAGTGCTGAGGAATCCTCAAGGAATCTTGAGGAAACGACTATAAATACGGGCCTGAAGCATTTCCTATACCTCAACTCAAATATCCATCGTGGTATTAGATAAAAATTGAGTTATCCCTTATATTTTTTTCTTCCACTGTAGGTCGACGGTAATCAACGATACATCTTTCTCCGTGTACACGGTAGTGTTATTCAAGGTAAAGAATTTTGAGCCATCGAACATCAAAGGCGGCATCAAAAATTTTGCATCATCTGAGTAGTCGGGTGATATGTGTCAAAGTTGCTTTATTTTTTAATTTGGTGCAAAAAAATATTAGGTGTCATTCAAAATTTCTCAAAGCAACAATTGAAAAATTTAACAAAAAAAAAACAACGGCTCTGCTAGCTTTATGTCAACCTAACAAAAATTATTATTGTTTGAAAACTTCGAATATACCATAATTTATTACTATTTAATTACTATCTTATAACTATAATCACGATTTTTCACTCAACATTCGATAAAAAAAATACGCCGATTTGTAAATCTCGGTCTCGACCAAGCAGAACCGATACTCAAATCACATGTTATTTGAAATTCTATTGAATCATCAATAAGTTACTGATTTATTACTAATTCATTGCCACATTCGCAAATTTATAACCGTTCATTTAACAGGAAACCCAACGGCTCTGCTAGCTTTATGTCAACTTAGCAGAACCATAGCTAAACTTTTATTTTTTTTGGAAAACTTGAAATATACCATAATTTTCCAATTTTTTCAACTTCTAACTATAATCACGATTTTTTTACACATCATTCGATGGAAACAAAACACCGATTTGTTTATCTCGATCTTAATCTAACAGAACCAAAACTCTGATCTCCAGTTTTTTGAAATACCATTGAGTTCCCAATAAGTTCTAATTCATAACTATTTTATTGCAAACAAGCTACAAGGAAATTCGACTTGGTGTTAGAAAATGAACGCTGGAGGTAATTCACAACTAATTTATTACCTCAATAACGAATCTGCCACTTGAAGGAAATCACCGATTCGTCTATTTCTTTGTCAACTGAGCAGAACCAAAACTCGAATGACATATAGTAATACCTACCACAAGTGATTGAATTTTCAAGTTTATCGATTCTTCTCTTAACGAAACTGAATCGCTTCGAGAAAACATCACGAGTCCGCAGGACAGACTTATGAGATGAATTCATTCACTCGTGGAATTTTATTAGACTATTTCACAAACAAAGGTAGAGAGAAATTTGACAGGACCCGTTTTTTCATTTATAAACTCGATTTTTCGACTATGGGCAATGACAACAATTCCACAATTAGTAGCATCACATTTTTCCAACTCCAAAAACTTTCAATTAAGCTGAAGATTTGAGAAATTTCACTCCACTTGAGCAATATGGACTTCTACCAAAGAGTAATAAAATAGTTATAAATTATGGTATATTTCAAGTTCCCAAGAAAATAAATGCAATGCTATGGTTCTACTAAGTTGACATAAAGGTAGCAGAGCCGTTGTTTTTTTTCTGTTGAATGAAGGGTTATGAATTTGCGAATGTGGCAATAAAGTTCTGCTAGGTTGAGATCGAGATTGACAAATCTTCCTTTTTTTCCATCGATTGATGAGTGAGAAAATCGTGATTATAGTTGAAAGTTAGTAATTAAATGGTAATAAATTAAAGTCATTGTATAGCTATGATTCTGCTTGGTTGACATAAAGCTAACAGAGCCCTTGGTTTTTTCTGTTAAATGAAGAGTAATGGATTTGCCAATATTGTAATGAACTAGTACCAAATTTGTAACAAATTATAGCACTATCAGGAATCTGAAATGTTCTAGGTTTATGGGGGGTATTAAAGACACATCACTGCATGCATTTAAAGGAAGCATTATAATTTCTAATAGTTGATTTCATTTCAGGTCGTCTTGATGCATAACGATGGCCCTAGCTTTCACCCGCGACAGGTAACCTAAAAGGTCGTCGAGACAGCGGTGACCATCCGGATCAGCAGATAGTGCGGCCACACCGACCGAGGCGGAGAAAGCAGGCTAGCCGAGAGCCGAGCCGAGCCGAGTGTCGACGAGTGTGCTTCCTAGTGCGGTGCAAAGTGGAGTCCGGTGGCGACGATAGTGGGGCGGTGCTGTGCGTGGGTGTGTCCCGTGCGGTGCACGTGTCGCTAGTTTGGTAGTGTTCGTTCGTGGATCGATGGACAAGAGGAAAATGATGCCAAAAAGGCCTCGGTTCGAGACTCGCGGTCCCATCTCCAACGGGCCGATGCAGACGCGGCCGCTCGTCGCGCTGCTCGACGGCCGCGACTGCTCCATCGAGATGCCCATTCTCAAGGACGTCGCGACGGTGGCGTTCTGCGACGCGCAGAGCACCAGCGAGATACACGAGAAGGTGCTGAACGAGGCGGTCGGCGCGCTCATGTGGCACACCATCATCCTCACCAAGGAGGACCTCGAGAAGTTCAAGACTCTGCGGATCATAGTGCGGATCGGCAGCGGCGTGGACAATATAGATGTGAAGGCGGCTGGGGAGCTGGGGATAGCGGTGTGCAATGTGCCGGGATACGGGGTCGAAGAGGTGGCCGATACGACGCTCTGCTTGATACTCAACCTCTACAGGCGGACCTTCTGGCTGGCGAACATGGTCAGGGACGGCAAGAAGTTCACGGGTCCCGAACAGGTGAGATGCGGGCACGCGATGAGGCATACACGTGGTGTGGCATTCACGCGAGCATTCACGCTGCTTCATAAACCGGCGTGAAGCCAGCAAGACGGGAGATTCGGTAAAGCAGGCCGCGGAGTAGTCATTTGCATGTTAAAAATCAAATATCTGGCTACAGGTGGTTTCATCAACTAGGACGCCTCACAGTAGTAGTGTTCATTTCACCCCAAGAATCTGTCATTTTCATCAGGAAAAAATATATTGCCATGGATGTTTTTGTCAAAAAATACATGGCCTAAAACCAAAAGCTGAAAGCTTCATTATCACTAGTAAGTGAATCGACCTCCAGCTGGCGCACTTTCGAGGTTGGGAGGGGGGGGTTTAAATTGCAGCAACCTCACAAACACGTAAAATAATAATAAGAAAACTGATATCGCAATAGCTGAAACTTTGTTAGATGTTGATTATGTGACGAATAGATCAAAAAACGTATCCAGCCGAATTTGGAGTGGGGGTTATGCCCCAGCTTTTCATGTGATGAAGTTGAAAATATGCACTGAGTAGACTGATACCCAAAAGCTAAAATTTGGACATAGATGAACGTCTCCAGCGATCCAAAAAAGATGGCTTGAACTCAGCAGCAATCACTGCACTCTACTTGGCTAAACACGACTAAACATATCAGATGATCATAAATATATTTCTTTTTTCAGTTTTATTGATGAGCCATTTCTGCGAAAGGTACAAGCATGTTTTTTCAAGGTCGAAGGATGATGTGTGGAATCAATGATACATTTTCCTTCGTATATATGGTGGTGCTAATCAAGGTAACGAATCTTCAGCCACCGAACATCAAGCGGAATCAAAGCCTACATATCCGGACGTTGGGTGATCTGTGGATCGGAGCAGAGGGGTGCCAAATTCTAGTAGAAGTAGGCCGAGAGAGGGCAGTGTCGATTCACACCTGTCAATCAGCACAGCACGTATTAAATGCCAGATCTGAGGACTCGGCCAGCGCATTAGAGTCATCCCCACTTATTGGAAAATTTAGTGAACCTTTTAAATCAAAAACAGATATTATAATAAATGCATGGAAAGCGCGCTCTGTTATTGATATCTGATACCGCAAAAGCAAAAATTTGGTAAACTAATAGTTGAATAATGGGTTGAACAAATAGAACATCCAGCTTTACATTTAGTGATGGAAAAGTGTCCAGCTGAGCTGATGCAGTCAAAGACACGACGCGCCCGAGTGCATATCCATGCGCAGCGTCCTTCACTGCATCAGCTGGGCACTTTTCCCCCACTAAATGTGAAGCTGGATGCTCTTTTCGTTTAAGTTATTACTTTAACGATTTGTTTGCCAAATATCAGGTTTTGTGGTATCAGTTTACTCAGCGCATATTTTTAAATTATTTAATTCGGCTGGATACTGCTAGATAGAGATCCAGGATGAACAGAGTTGTCCTGATGAGACCTGGTTGGTAGGTCGAAACAGTACAGTCTCGCTCCTGCTGACAATTGTGGCAACTCTGTTCATCCTGGATCTCTTAGTTATGAGATCTAGCAGTTGAACAGGTCGGTGGATAAATCCACTCAAGTATGTCAGGTAGTGCCACCTGTCAGCAGAGTGGTTTACTTGTAGTGCACTCTGTAGCGTATAGACGTAATTGTCTGTACGTGTGACTATAGATGGCAGCGCCATACAGTGTGTGTCGCGATCTCTGGATCCTACTTTAGGGCTTTGCCACTAGATGGCTACAACATGATTAGTACTTCATGTTATACCCTGCGTCGGCTGGATACGTTTTTTGATCTATTTGTAACATAATCAACAGTTAACAAAGTTTCAGCTTTTGCGGTATCAGTTTTTTTATTATTTTTTTACATGTGTTGGGGATGCCGCAACTACACCCCCGGAACTGTGCCAACTGGATGTTCATTCCCTTGCTAGTTATACCAAATGAAGTTCGGGGAGAATTTTCAGCTTTTGTGACATGGCCAACTCTAAATAGTCGCTGGCTCCCAGGCTATAAGGCATACCATCGATTGAATTCATGCTGTCCCCTTATTTTTCGCATCAATTTTACCCTATTTTCACTCAAAAAATCGAAAAATAAAATTGAAATCTACCATTTTCATTGGGATGTTATGGATATTTTTTGGCGAAAAATTCATTGGACATAACATCCATTGAATTCCTATTATCCCCTGATTTTGTCCCAATAATTTTACCCCATTTTCACCCCAAAAATCGAAATAGAAATCAGGTCACAATCGGGTGAAATTGATGTGACAAAATCAGGGGACGCAATGAATTTAATCGATATTATACCCCTTGTATTTTTTGACAAAAAAATTGTAACATGGAAATTCATTATTCTCTAACAAGATGCGAAATCATACCAGGTTTTTCTTGTTTTGTGTTCAGAGCGGGAAGAACCACACATGTGGATACGCGAAAAATTATTACGACCAGCAAGCGAGCATTGAAATTTGTGGAAACATCTGCGCAGTATGTATCAACGTCAGCACTGCATGTTTTTGGTTCATCTTTTGGAGAGCCAGTTACTCTGGCTCATTGGTGCATTGTGCATAATGTGTATTTTTGCTAGCGTCCGGCCCAGTACGATATACGCACGCGCACACTCGACCACCGACTTTTCCAAGCCGATCACGTGGTATGCGCCACTCGCCAGTTCAATTATTTAGCGCGAATCTGAGAACTAGCATTTTCATCCTTTTCCTGTGATATGTCTATGTGGCTGGGATGAGGATCAAAATGAATGAAACAGCTTTCGTTATTCAGCACAGACTAACTGTATTCAGCCGTCATCGACAAGAGCACCATGACAAAAGGAAATACATTTTGACGTATGACAATATGCACAGTCGGTACAAAAGATCTCTATATACATATCATATGAAGGCAACTGTTTAACACAGACATAATCTATATCAACTTGCATTAGATGGCGCCACGAGTAACAAACTACTATAAATCCTATAATTTGGGCTTGGAACAACATGTGATTTATGAGTGCGACATGACAGATCCTGAATGCGCTTGATACCGTTTCTCCAGTTCGATCTCTTGAATGGAATATCCACTTATTTGTGGCATTAGCAGTCTAGGATTATGTCAGTGTTTGATACGGTTTGATAGCAACATTACTTCTTTTTTTTAATTGACTCGGCCGTTACTTGATGGAAATTCATGGCATATGTAGAAAATTCACAAACGATAAGATTTCCACAAAATTCCTTATAACATGACTTGTTTCGCTAACACAGTAGCTTCATCAGGTAAAATACTGGTACAATGAACTAAACTAACCTTGACTTGCCTAACTTTTATATATCCTACTTTCCCAACCTGAAGGATTGGGGCACAATATCTGTATTAAAATACGGTGTACTGGATTAACTTGAGAGGGTTGATAGCAAATACATATTACCTACTAAGGCAGCAAATTCAACAGTGGTGAACTATTGAGGTCTAGTTGATCGTTAGGTAAAATGCGAGGTAAAATGTTAGAATTTTTGAGTTTGTTGATTTCTAATGATTCAAAATGATTGAGTTTTATCCCTTTATTTTCTACGTCTAGAATTTACATTACTTCTACCATTGTCGATCTAAATGGAAACCTAGTTAGGTAGTTAGTAGGCGAGAGCATAATATTGTCTGTTCTTTGAAAAAATAAATGAAGGCGTTCAGTAGTACAGAGACATCAATGTCAACCAAGTAAACTAAGTTATTCATTTTTTATTCCTAACCATAACATTTTTCATGGTCCTGTCAAGTTTGTAAATAAAAATCTGTCATGTTGAAACCCGAAAATGAAACATTATCACGAAAGATATTATCAAGTATGAAAATCATCTACCTATACTTAAATGGAAGCAGGAAGATGTTTAGGAAATGCTGTATTAGTATGATTTATGATGCAACTTGAATTTAAGTTGGAACTGTGGAAACTTCGGAAACTCAATAGTGCTATTACACTTTTTCGACATGCAAGCCAAGCAGAAAGGTAGGGGCTACTTATTTCCTTCTATATTTTTGATGTTACTATATAATTCATGAAATTCCATTGTTTGCAGTGAAAATATGTCTTTAGTGATGTAAAATTTCAGGTACCTACCTACAGCGAAGAGTAGTTACATTAATAGCTTTTCAGTTGAAAAACGAAAAACTATGAGTGATGTGGAAGTATCACATTAGAAATCATTATGTGAGTGATGTTCAGAAGGAATGTACCAGAAGGATGATGATGTTCGAGAACAGAATGGAAAATTTACCATCTGAAATAAATATATAGAAGCACTAAGGTTAGACTCAATCTGGTTATTTCATCAATGTCTTATGGATATTCTGCTCCAAACACAAAATATCATTATATTTTTTATAGATAGGTCCTTGAAAGTCGAGCTGCAAAAATATCCAGTTCACAAGATTTTATGAAAAAACACACAAGAAAATGGGGCAGTGAATAAAATCAGAAACTTTTCATCCTGTAGTTCGATGACCTGAATCCATATAGTAAGAACAACGATTTGTTTGCTGGAAATAGCCAGTCCCCAGCATTTCATTCTAGGCTGCAAATTATACACACCCCAATGTATATTCAATTTATCTATTTTTCAAGCAATCAATTAGATGATGAGGAACATGTGATATTCCACTCCAGCACACTCAGGACCATTTTCGTAGTGAGCCACTCAGAATTTCACTAGAGTAAAATGATTTCAAGATTGTATAGAAATCATCCTCAGATATATGGTATTCTATTGTTCAGGGTTCTTTGTCAAGTTGCTGGGATATTTAGAATTTTTTATTGGAATATAACTTGTATGTATGAATGGCAATACAATTTTTTTAATAAATTGTACATAATTATGAAGAATTATTTCAATTTTTATTCTACTATATAGTTTGTTCTCTTCTGATACCCTGTTTATTGTTGTACAGATGTATTGGCAGATAAGTTTGAAAACACTATATATATTGTACAAAT